ATGCATGGGTGGTCTGGTGCCTCAGACACAGTGCACCCACGAGCCTGGCTCCACGGCTGCCAGTTCCCATCCGCGTGCCTTTCTTAGTGGATCCCAGGCCCACGCTCTAGCTAGAAGGCTGGCAAAACACTGAAGATTGCTTAGTTTCCCACAGGGAACAGTTTGGACAATGGATTCCATTTGCAAAACAAAACGTTAGAAAACCTACCAACCCGTTTTCCAGAGTACGCTCTCCACACCCCTCCATCCCCACCAGCCCCTCCTAGTTCGGATCCTCCTTTTTCTTTTCTTTCCTGACTCTCCCCTCTCATAATTTCTTTCCCCTGCTCCTCATTCTCTTCTCTCTTTTCCCCTTTATTTCTATGACCTAACTTAAACAAAGTCCTACCGCCATCGCCTATGTACAAAACAACCCCTAACTTTTACAAATTTTGTTGAACATCAGAGAGAGGGAAGCACATTTTTAAAAATCAAAAGCATTCCGAGCCCTGGCTGGTGTAACTCAGTAGATTGAGTGAGCGCAGGCCTGCGAACCAAAGGATGGCAGTTCGATTCCCAGTCAGGGCACATGCCTGGGTTGCAGGCCAGTTCCTAGCAGGGGATGCACAGGAGACAACCATACACTGATATTTCTCTCCCTCTCTCCTTCCGTTCCCCTCTAAAGATAAATAAATAAAATACTTTTTTTTTTTAAAAAAAGCATTCCGAGAAATGAAAATGGAGAAAACTGTTGCCAATACCATGAATGGCCTAAGTTGTCCTTTTGTCTGAATATCTGTCTGCCTCTCTCTCTTTACAGTTCATCTTCTTGGCTCTCCTCCAGAGGTCTGTGCAGCAGGCAGAAATTTAGCAGTGTGGGAGATGCAACAGAAGCCCAGAAGCCACAGTAAGAATGACCAGGTGTTGGTTCAGCTCCACCCTGTGCAAGAGAAGGCCTGCAGATAGCAGCTGCTACCTAGAGGACCCAGCCTAAAAATCTTCTTATACATCTGAGTGCCTCAACACAGTGCTGCCCCTTATGCCAATTTATCTGACTTTTAAAAAAGATTTTATTTATTTTTAGAGAGGGGAAGGGAGGGAGAAAATAAGGGAGAGAAACATCAATATGTGGTTGCCTCTCGCGCGCCCCGCACTGGGGACCGACCTACAACCTAGGTATATGCTCTAAACTGGGACTCAAACTGGTGACCCTTTGGTTCTCAGGTCAGCACTCAATCCACTGAGCCACTCCAGCCAGGGCAATTTATTTGATTCTAATGATAGTCAAGCTTTAGGAAGAAAAAGGACACCTCACCAAAATTGGATGTATCCTTAACTTCACAGGAGCCCTAGTTGCTGTTGACCTCCTCCTTTGCACCTGTCCTCTCCTGCCTCTCCTTCTTCCTCTCAAACAGTTCATATCTCTAACTAGACGTGACTTGGTCTATCTTCTTTTTCCTCTCTACAGTCTCTTCCTTGCCAATTTCAATCAGCTTCCTTATATCATCATCATCACCTCTAAGCAGATCCCTCACTGCAGTACTCCAGTCCCTGTTCTTCAGCTGCACTCCAGACATCATTCCATCATCATCCTATTAATACATATTTTATGAATACTTACTTGCCAGACAATAAGCAAAACACTTTATAGGCATTGTCTCACTTTAATCCTTACAGCAAGGTACCAGCTTATAGATGGGGAACTGAGACCTAAAGAAGCTAAATAAATAAGGTGTCCAAAATCACAGAGCAAGGTGTCAAGTACAGATGGAACTCCAAGTCTTCCTAACTCCAAGGGCAATATTCTTGACCACAAAAATCTGGTTGTCTCACCAGGACCTTACTATATCCCACACTGAACTCATCTTTATCCCTTCTTCGTCTGCTCGCTCAAACGCCCTGATTTCTAGTAGTGTTACCATTGTCCTTCCTCACACAGAAAGTCACAACCTAGCGTCATCTGATAGCGTGTTCTGACTTCTTTCTTTACCCCTACAGTAAGTCAGTTTTTAAGCCTTAAAACGCCTTTACCTGGAAGGTTTCTACCACCCCTCCTCTGCAGTTCCAAAGTGCTTCCCTAGCTCTAGTCCTCATTACTCCTCTCCTGAACTGTTGCCTTAATATTGCAATTTCTGGCTTGGAAAATACAGTCACATTTACAATAGCTCTTCTCAGAAAAGCAAGCCAAGGCAAATACACAATGAAAGCTAGTCTTCACCGGTCTCCCTATACAGACCTGTTACAACACTTACCGTCTCTACTTTACATTTTGCAACCTCATCGAAATAGTCTTGCCCCGTTTTTGAACAGTTATATATGTAGATATGTATCTGCTTCAAGGAAGCAGAAAAGAGTAGAAACCAGTGTACCTTTGGTGCCAAACAGCTGGGAGCCTACGAGGTCTCCTCTCCAGGAACAGCCATAGGGACTCGGCAGTACACAGTCTGTTTCTTTTAGTTACAGATTTTAAATTCCAAAAAAAAGACATGATTGGCCTGGCTTGGGTCCCCTGTCCATCCTCAGATGATGAGTTTTGGCTAAACAGCAGGTGGACCTTTTCTAAACACGGCAATTGGAACCTCTCCCGTATGCAGGGCTTGTTCCCAGAAGAAGAAGACGGCACACGCCATTCATCCATTTGTCCATTCGTTCCATCAGCAAACAGTTGAGCACCTATCAAAATATGTCAGGGTTCTTTCAGGTATGCAAAATGTTTAAAATAATACCCTGCCCTCGTATCATGAAAGTCACAACATAAAATGATAAGAAATCACCAGATAAAAAGCATAACAATCAAAACTCATCCGTTAAAGACCATCAGTTTAATTATATGTGATGAGAGGTAATTCACCACATTCTACATGAGCCCTGCTGGTAAAAGTGATTAGTAGGAATGTATACATGTTCAACAACAAGTTCACAGCAACATCATTAGGAACAGACAAACACAGAAACTGCCCAATGTCCGTCAGCTGTAGACAAGATCAAGAATAGTATATTCACACAATGGAATACAGCAATGAAAATGAATGCTCCACAAATATACACAACAATACTGATGAATCTTACAAACAACGTGAAGCAAAAGAAGCCAGACCCCAAAAAGTGTATAGGGTATGATTCCATTAATATAAAACATAAAAACAGGCAAAACTAATTGAGCCTGAGGAGTGGTGATTTGAGGGGAGCAAAAGGAGCCCTGCGGGGGCCAGTGGTTCTGGGTCCTGAGCTGGGTGCTGGTTACACAGGTGTGTTCAGTTCGTCAGAATTCATCAAGGTATACACTTACCATATATGTCCTTTCCTACAGGCATATTATCCTTCAATGAAAAGGTTTTTAAAAATAAGTAATTGATGGCCAAAGTAGAGCACTTACTCACCCTTAAACATTGTCCTTGCCCTGGCTGGTTGTAGCTCAGTGGATTGAGCACAGGCCTGCAAGCCACACAATCACAGTCTGATTCCCAGTCAGGGCACATGCTTGGGTTGCCGGCCAGTTCCCAGCAGGGGACTCATGAGAGGCAACCATACATTGATATTTCTCTCCCTCTCCCTTCCCCTTTCCCTCTAAAGATAAATAAAATATTTTTTAAAAACACACACATTGTCCTTAATCATTGTCCCATGATTATCCTAGAGTCGCCAATTATTGCCATGCCCACCCCCACCATTACACCTCCTGCTTGAAGACCCTAAGCCACAGGGGGTCTTTGGAAAGAGCCCCCATTCTTCCTGCATGGCCTCATCCCCTCCAGCTCCAGACGACTGGACTTCCTCTGACCTGGACCCTTGGGAGCAGGACACCGTGAAGCTGAGTCAGGCAATAGAGAGGAGTTCATCTAATAAGTTGTAGAGAATTTCCAGACATATGCACAATGATAATAAGCCAAGAAAACTGGTCTTCAGAAAGCAGAGCCAACACACAGAAGGCAACAAACGAAGCTGTGGGAGATGGAGGAGAGGCCTCGAAGGCCAGGCCGCTCCCTTTCCAGTTCCTGTGCGTGCGTTCCAGCTGCCACGGGGGGCGTGAGATTGCTCATGCAGCCTTCCAATTATAAACAAACAAGTACATAAATAATTGTTTTTAAAACTTACATGTTGACACTAGTATGAATAGGTTTCTGTTTGTGGCAATAGGTTTCTGTTCATTTAGTCCTTCTAATCACCCTACACAATAATGACTCCCATTTCTCAGATGAGAAAACCAAGGCCCAGAGCAGTTTCAAGTGACTTGCCCAAATCACAGACCTGGTAAGTGATGGTGCCAGCATTTGGGCGCAAGCAGTCTGACTGCAGAGCCTGAAATTTTAACAACTATACCACACTGCAAAGCAAGAGAAATGCTGAAAGTGGCCATGGGAATGACATGAGGCATTCATGGATTCGACTCGGGCACCTGACTGTGTTTGAAATGAGATCAAATACAGAAAAGATGAAAAGATTGTCTCAGTAAGTTGGGAAGCATGTCTTTCTTTCACAAGTTTGAGTTAGAGATGTTAAAGAAATATAAAATGCATGTAATATGACCAATTATATTAAAGAAGACTGTTCTTATACCAGGAAACTGCTCACTTTACAGATTTAAGCAAAACCCTCTCTTAGGGGGTCCCCACTGATTGTCAATTCTTCCTGAAGGGGGACTACCCAGGAGAAGGGATTTCAGTCCTTTGGAAGCAGAAACTGAGGACAAAAGTTACTTCAAGTCCTAGGAAGGGAGGTGCCAGTGGTCACTTTCCGTGGTGACAGCTGCCAGCCTCACAGTCCACTCAGCCTGTCTTTCTAGATCAATCACAACCAAGCCATTGGTGACCCCCTGCAACCTTCAGAAAGTACAATTCAGGAATTATCAGCAAGTTTAGGTCCAATGAGAACCTGTCTATCTGTAATGCTTCAATGTTAAAACAAAAGTGCTGACAGCCAGTCAGCTAAATCTTTTCTATATATAAATGACTGAGCAATTTTGTGGCTTATAATTAGAACAATGCATGACAATTTGTAGATTAGAGTTCCAAGGTTACTCTTCTCTTCGGTCCATCAATACCAAAGAGACGAAGGTCATCTCCTAAGGCTCTGCGGATAGCTCTTCCCAGCCTGCCACATGGCTGCTTCTGTAAGTCCTGGCTTTCACTTTACCCTTTAAAGGAAAGAGGCTGGGGCTTCTAAGGGGTGGGTATATATAGTAATGGGGAAAAATACAATGAAAAACAAAAGAAAAGAGGCTGTTTTTTAGCTGGCAAAAGAACGTACACTTTGGGTGGTTTGCAAATAATTTATAGTAAGAAGACTGAGTTAGCCCTGGCTGGTATGGCTCAGCTGGTTGGAGCACCGTTCTGCAAACTGAAAGGTTATGGGTTTGATTCCCAATCAGGGCTCATATCTAGGTCATGGGTTTGATTCCTGCTCAAAGTGCATACAAGAGGCAACCAATCTATGTTTCTGTCTCACATCGATATTCTCTTCCCCTCTCTGCCCCTCGCTACCCCTCCTCTCTCTAAAATCAATAAGCATATCCTTCGGTGAGGATTAAAAAAAAAACCAATGAGTTAACATCAGCGCCAAAAGCATGTATTATTATCAAAACCAGATTTGTTAACTCATCACTTCATGTACTAACTACCTCGCATGTGGTAGTTAGTGACAAATAAATTTTGTACTGGTTTCCAGGTCGGAAGCTTAGCCTGATTCAAACCTGTCGTCTACATAAGACCCCTAATCTGTAATGACCAGTTAAGATCGTGAACATCAGCTGCCGTCCCTAAAATACAATGTGTCGTCTCTGAGGCCCCTTCCTCCCCCCAGAGCCTTCTCCCCCGTGAGTTTCTATTCTCCGCCCACCACGTCAGCACAGCTTTGCAGAGGCAGTCACGTTTCAGGATTGGTAGTTAGTAAAATGTCACCAAAATTCCCTGTGCTTGCTCCTGGAAGTTCCAAATAAAGACACAAAGGTCCCTAGAGGCAAACACAGAGGCACCTAACATTTACCCTACATTATGCCGGTAAGGAGAGAAAATGTGTTCAGTTAGACATAATCTGGCACGACGTGGGCTGCCTGTCTGTTGGAAGAACTCGGAGTAATGAGAGCTGTAACTAGAGAGAAGGAGGAGATTCATGCAGAATGTTGATGGCTGAGTTCTGAGGCCATGTTTATAGGCAGCTCTCTGACTCCAGGACGGCCCTTGCACCCAAAATAACAAGGCATTGCATCTGAAAATTGCCTAGATGTTCTAGCAGTGCTTAAAGAACATCGATTAACTTCTTAGTTAAACAATTTGGCTGTAAAATCAAAACGGAAAGTAATCATAATTCCAAAAGCAATCATGCTAAAATCTATCTCTCTCTACATATATACATGTATAGTTATATATTACATGTAACATACATCATACATGTTATATATGCTATATATGATATATTGTGTGTTATATATTATGTGTTATATATAACAAGTTTTATATGTGTATATATATATAACTTATTAATATGGAGTTTATGTATTAAAAAAAGCAGTAGTTTCTAACAACCAGGTTTTCAAAGAAATGTGTGTAGGTTTTGAACCAATTTGTGAAGATTATTTCTCAACCTCCATGGTGAGAGTTTGATTCTAGCAGGACCCAGTCAATCCCAAAACAAAATACATTTTAATCCTTTCAACTCAAGCTTTCAGCCATGCAACTGTTATGCCACAGGTCAAAATGGAACCGAATGAAAGTGTGACCACATCTCTGCAAACTCATCAGTGCTGAGGGCCTAAACGAGCAACCCGAAGTTCGCCTCTCACAGACAGTACGTATCAGATACTTCATACTCTTGTAAAAGGGGACATACCTATGCAGGGGTGTCCAACCTTTTGGTGTCTCTGGGTCACACTGGAAGAAGAAGAGTTGTCTTAGGCCACACACTACATACGCAAACGCTAATGAAAACTGATGAACAAAAAAAAGTTTTTAAGTAAATTTATGATTTTGTGTTGGGCCGCATTCATAGCCATCCTGGTCTGCTTTATCTTTATTTTCCCTACTAACTAAATACTGAAACATACCTATACTGCCCCTTCCATCCCAAATATTTTCTATTTTACTTGTCCATTAATCCAGAAGTTGGCGAACTACCAGGCTTCATGGCATTGTAAAGTAGGAGCGACTCTCCTACACACACACGGTTTTTAAGAAACTGCTGTGGTAACCAGACTCTAAAATGTCCCCAGTGGTCCTCACCCTGCTGTTCACGCCCTTGTTAGTCCTCTCCCTCACTGCACCAGGGATGGTCTGTGTGACCAAGAACACAGCAAAAGTGACGGCATGCCACTCCTGGAAGGAGCCAGCTGCCATGTCATGAGCCGCACTCCCAAGGCCCATGTGGTGGGGAACTGGGCCTTCCTGCCAACAGCCACAGGAGTGAGAGCGGACACAGACGCTCAAGCCCCAGTGCAGCCCACGGAGGCCCACAGCTTCGCAAAGACCCTGAGCCGGAACCACCCAGCTAAGCCAGCCCTGAATTCCTGACCGCCAGGAATGGAGAGATAACCAAGGGTTGTGTTCGAATGACTGAGTGTGAGGTATTTGTTATGGAACAAGAAATAACTAATGCAACTCCTCTACCCTTTTTCTGTTGCAGATGCACAGCTCTCTAACCCCAGTGCTGTATCCCTGCTTAGGTTGGGAGGGAGCATTAGCAAGGGCTGCCACCTCCATTTCCCTGGCTTTATTGACACTGGTTTTGCCCTTCTCCTTGCTTTTTCTTCTTTCTTCATGTTGACTAGAATACTCAGTAAACGGAATAACCCATCTCTAGCACAGGAATCAATTCTACACACTAGTTGACTTAGTTAAAGGAATCGTTCTATGTAAATGTGGTATTTTATGATATTTTAGAAATCTGGTAGATTTCTATTGACAGAATCCCTCACCTTCGCTGTCACGTCTTTACCAGATACCTCCCTACCCAGCAGAGAGGCACGGTCTCGTATACACTGAGAAAACAGAAGCTACAGACGCGATCTCTTAAATCCCCTCTTTCTACCTTTATACCTATTTATAAGTACAGGGGGGCGAATAATTACTGTTTTAGTGGCAGATGCCAGAGCTCCTCTGAGGGACAGAAAATGCCTTATTGAGGAAACTACCTTGATATGACAGTTGAAGTATAGAAGAAAGTTTGACTTAAAATTAAACTGTGAAACAAAGAGAGAGCTAAACACTTCACATTAAAAAAAAAAAAAGACCAAGAATATGAACACAGCAGAGAGCAGAGAAGAGAGGAAATGGGAGGGGGTGGTCAAGAGAAATGTGGCTCAGATAAGAGCACGGGAGGTAAGAGCCTGGGAAGTGGTGGGGGAGCTGGAAGCATGTTTGAAACAGAAATGTCTGCCACTGGACTTAACGTTGTTTGTGTTGCTAAGGATCTGAAATCCCCTAAGCTTTCAATAATGCCAGATACATGCATGAATGCCTAATGCGAGTGGTTTGGGGTAAAATCAAGGGGGAAAGATGGGGGAGGAGGCAGGTCTGAGTTTCACAACCGGGTCAGCATGGAACCAAGGAAGAAGAATTGAGTTACAACTGAGATGAAGAATTTAGGGGAAGCAGAAACTCAAAAACCAAAGACACCATACGATGAGCTTCCAGGAATGAACAAAAATCTTGGCATGGAAATCCCCAAAATGATGTGAAATGGAGACTGAAGCCAACTTCACTTACATCTCCAAAAAGATGCTATATTAGCCGACACCTGGGTCCAGATTCATGGATTCTTCTCTGCTGTGTTCTGGCCTTTGATAAAGGAGTGCTCTAAACAAGGCACTTTTTTTAAAAAATGTGATCTCATATCCATCCTTTAGATCTTACTCCATCAATTATTCTCTTCGATACGCAGAGGCAGCGTGAGTCAGCACCCTGCTCAATGGAGGGTTCCGCCCACTGCTTACCCACAGGCTCAGACCAACCACACCTCTAATGATGCCAGCTTTGAACTCAGGAAGACTCAAGAGTCCTGGTTTCATTATTTATTCCTGGTGTAACCCTGGACACATAACTATTCTATACTCTCTCGGCTATAATTTCCTCATGAGGAAATGGGGATAATAACAGTACCAACATCACAGGAGCATTGCAAGGATCATCCTAGATAATGAGTGTAAACTGTTAGCCCAGCACTGGGCGAATAGTAAGCCCTTGTTAAAGTTAACTGCTACCATCTTCACTCACTAAAGTTCTTTTTTTCATAATTATTTTTATTAATTTTAGAGAGAGGGAGGGAGAGGGGGAGAGAGAAACATCAGTTTGTTGTTTCACTTATTTACTCATTCATTGGTTGATTCTTGTATGTGTCCTGATCAGAGATACAAAACCTTGGCCTATTAGGACGATGCTCTAACCAACTGAGCTACCCAGCCAGAGTTAAAATTCCTAAAAGAATAATCTCTATTCTATGTCTACTTCCTCTCCCACCATTTGCTCTTTAATCCCCAGAAGGCTGGCTCTTGCCAATCTATGGAAATTGCCGTCATCAAGGTAACCTCACTCATTAATCCCAGGGAATCTTGGCAGGCCTGCTTCAGGAACTCCAATGCCATACTTGGTAGTTCTAGTCACTCGCCTTGAAATGGTCCAACCTTGGCTTCTCGTGACACTGCTCTCTCACTACTCTTTCTCCTTTTTTCAGGAACTCTCCTTTCTCCATCATCCTTTCAGTGTTAGTATGTCCGGGGTTCTGCCCTAGCCACTTCTGTTCTCCTTGGGCACTCACTGGGTGAACGTGTGCACGCCTGCAGCAGCCCAGTCTCGAACTTGAACCCAGACCTTTCCTCTGAACTCTGGAGCCACACTGCCCACTGGATATCTTATCCTGGGTGTTTCACACACCCAGCCAACCAAACCAAATCCACAGAGCCTGTTAACAAAAACACTATTTTCTCTACCTTCTCCAATTCTTTCCTTCCCCTGGAAACCATTTTCATCATTAACGTCAGCTGTTATCCTTCCTGTTGCCCTTGCCCACTGTGTCCAATTGGCTATCAGATGCTGCCACCTCTGGGATCCTCTGGTCCCTCACAGTCCTGCTCCAGCCCCCATGATCCCACTGTGACTCACAGTGGGCTTTACAGTCACGTGGGCCTGGATTCAAACAGTAACTGTGCAACACACTTACTATGGCTGTTCTTGGCCAAATTACTTAACCTCTCTGACCTCAGGTTTGGGGGATCGTTAAATGAGACGTCACATGTAAAATGGCTGGCATTTGGCAAACATGACCCTGCATCCCCCTCCTTCAGGTCCGCATTGTCCCCTGTGTGATGCCATCTTCACCGAGCAGGTCTCTCTGGCCCTTTCACCTCCAGATTGTCCTACACTTAATTTTTCTAGAAAAAAAAACGTGATTCTATCATCTCTTTGCTGTAGAAGCTTCAACATTTTCTTTTTATCTATGGAACCAAGTTCAAATTCCTTGACATGGTAAGTTCTGACTGCCTTTCTGGTCCCATCTCCCCCAGCCCAGTTACTCTAAAAAAGGGGCCATTCACCAGCTCCTTCATGAACTTACTGGCTTGCATCTTACACATGCTGATCCCTCTGGTTGTAATTCCCTTGCCACATCCAAGTTCTTCTGTTCATCTGGCTTTGTCACCTCCCTAAGGCCCCGATTCAAAAGCTGTCACTTGTATGGCAACAAAAGCTCGGGCAGTAAAAGCAAAGACACACTAAAAAGCCTCTGTGTGGCAAAGAAACCCACTGATAAAGTGAAAAGGATTTTTCCCTACAGATTAGGAAAAAACATTTACAAACCCGTATCCGATCGGGATTAATATCCAAAGTATATAAAAAACTACAACTCAGTGTCAAAAAACAAACAATCCAATATAAGAAATAGGAAAACACCTACATAGACACTACTAACCATCAGGGAAATGCACCCAAAACCACCTTATGACATGCCAGCTCACACTTGTGAGGGTGGCTGTCATCAGAGAGCCACGAGATGACGCACAGTGCGGGGACATGGAGAAAAGGGAGCCCAGAGACTGCCGACGGGGCTGCAAATTGGGGCCGCCTCTGTGGAAACCAGCCTGGGGGTTCGGCGCCTCAAAAAAATAAAAACAGAACCACCGTAAACTAACCATCTATCAATGGAGAAATGGGTAAAGAAATGGTAGTGTTATATACATGTAGATATAGACAATAGAACATTGTCTATTGTTATTCAGCCTTAAAAAAGAAAAATACCCTGCCATTTGTGACAATAGTGATGCATGACATCACATGAAGTGAATTAAGGCAGATGAAATTTTGTTTTAAATGTATGATGTCGCCAACACGTGACATCTAGAAAAGTCAAATGCACAGAAGCAGAGCATGGAATGGCGGTTGCCGGGGGTGTGGAGGAGGGGGATGGGGAGGCACTGGCTAAGGGGACAAAGGTGCCGTCATGTGGGGTAAGTCGAGAGCTCTGACAACATAATGATGACAGTTAATAATACTGGATTTAATACTGGAAATTTGTTGAGAGGCTGGATTTCAGGTGCTCTCACCATAGGGAAAAAATGGTAACTATTTTGGGTTGAGGAAATGGATATGTTAATTAACTTGATTGCCGCAATCATTTCAGCATGTATATACATATTAAATCATGTATACCTTAGATATAGATACAATTTTTGGTTTTCAAAAATTTGTTTAATTTTATGCTATCACCTAAAGGGTGATACTTATTAACCGATTTGGATTTTTTAAAAAGCTATTCTACACACACATACACAAAGGGAGAGGAGGAGAGAGAATATTGTAACA